TCCAAGGGCAGATTGTTTCAGAGCATCTCCCAGCGCTGGAGCAGGCTGCTTCCCGGCTGTCGGCATTACAGAGAAGCCCAGAGGGTTGGCCCATCTGAAGTCATTTGCATTCCTTGGCCGGTTTGACCCTGGCAGCTCAGGAAATTGATAATTTACTTCTGTGGATTTGGCAGGAGCAAAATGAAAGGCAGCTTCTAGGTCTTGGCAAGGGGCTGCGTGAGAGCCATGGTGGGCAATTAGGAGAGTGAGTTGTTTGCCTGCAGGCTGGTGCAGGAAGAGGTGAGAGCTGTGTTTCTTCACCTCATCTTGGGACCTGCTGAAGGGGCTGGAGATGAGCGGCTGAGGGATGAAATATGTGTCTTTCTCCTGCCTGGGGCCCTGAGTTTTATTTGTTACCTGGAGTCTTGGGTGCGGTGGGAATCCTGGTCTGGTTCTGCACAGAGGAGCAGGCAGAGGGAGAAAGGGCCAAAAGCTGGAGTCTTTAGTGATGTGGCCGGGAGATGCAGTGGACATCAACCCCAGCCACTCTGGCTTAGAATTTGGCTTTGCAAAATGAATCATTAAGTGGTGAAGCACAGAGGAGGGATTTCAGAGCCAGCTCGGAAGGGAAAGGAGGGTTTTGAGCACACTCATTGCTGCTTGAAGAGGCTTTGGAGCAGTTTCTAAATACAGCTTTGGGATGGTCTTTGTGCCTTCTGTAAAATGGTGAAGTGAAAGCCCCAAAGAGCTGGTCATGCTGGTGGGGAGAGCTGCTGAGCAAAGCCACCCAGTGCTTCTGATGTGGAGGTCTGGCTAGGAGAACAGCAACAGGGAGTGGATCTAGCCCGATCCTGAAGCAGAGCTGCTGCATGAGAACCTTTTCCTGCATCCTTCTCCTAATCCGTGCTGGCTCTTGGACCACCAGATGGGAGATTTTAGCCTTAGGAAAGGGGTTTTTTAATGTTGTATTTTCGCTTCTTGCATTTTTCCCTCCATGTTTTCTCCCTTTCCTGACCCACCTTTTCATTCCCTGCATCCTCGCTTGGAATTCAGCCTCTTGCACCCAACCCTTTCTCCCTTCTGTCTCTTTTCTCTGGAAAAACAAGCTGTGAAGCTGCTGTTGGGAGCAGCTGTCCCAAGTCAGAACTGGTAGGGCTCTGTAGCTGCTGAGAGGTTTGGGTGCAGGTCCCAGATCTGTGCACAGCCTCTGTCTCTCAGTGGATGCGGGCGTAGGAAGAGAGCTGTGAGCTCCAGAGAAAGGAAAGGACCCTGCCATGTGGCACTAGCGCAGAGGGAGCTTGGGGACCACAGCAGGGGAGGCGTGAGTGGTTTCAAAAAAAAAAAGGGGATAGTGTCGAGGCTTGGCTCCCTTCTGCACATCCCTGAGAGGACCCTGCAGCCCCACTTCACCATCAGCGCGGGAACTTGGATGCCATTAGGCAGTTCATTAGTAAAACCTCTGAGCAGTTCCCTTTGCCGTTGAGTACCCATTTAATGCCTCTTGAGGAGAGAGGAGAACATTGGAAAAGCACAAAAACAATCTGAGGGTCCTTGATCTCGTTTTGGTCTGAGAGGTCACGGGCTGAGGTTGAAGGGGCAGCTGGGGAGGGGAAGAGGGGCCAGGCAGGGACGGATGAAAGCAGCACCGTGATTATCCGCCCAAGTCTGAGTGCAAAAACATAACCTGACTTGAACTGTTACTTCTCAAAAGCTCCCCAGGGGTGATTTAGGGTTATAAACACCTACTCGCTGACCCGCTTTGTGCACATCTCGAGCCAGGTATTCCCACTCCAGAGGGAAAGCCGGCAAAACCTGCGCAGATGTCCCCAACAGCTGCAGCCAGGCTGCGGTGAACCACCCCTGCTGCTACCGTTTATTAGCGCTGCAGGGTCTGTCCCCTTCTCCTTGCTTGCTTCTGTACACAGTCAGCTGTTAAAGGACACTGACATCACTTAATTAATGGTTTAATTGAATCTCACAAAGGGATCGAAATTGGCTGCCTGACTCTCGTTGCCGAGATGCTCACATAAGAAATAGTAAATCACCAATTCAGCAGATAAAGCTGCTTCTCTAGGTAGAAAGTCCTTGTCGCTGGGGATAGGGAAATAATTCCTCTTTGCAGAATAATATACTATTTGGGAGAAGGCTGGGGGGCATTTTTCCAAGCCACCAGGTGCCACCCGTGTCCAAGGGAAGGGTAACTAGGTTAGACTAACTCCCCAAGGTGGTACAGCACTCATTAAGGGTAAAACAGACCTGAGGCAGAATTTTAGCTGTAAGTCTGTTTGTGTTTCACCCCCTGTGTGATGGAGAAAGATCCAGGTGGTATTTGAAAGACCAAGGTTGAACCATGATAAACCTTTGTGGTCAGCAGCAGCTTCTGAGCTTGTTTCCAGGAAGAAAAGAAAAAGGCTTCTTTGAGAGCAGGGAGTCAAAAGTTTGGAGGGAGTGGAGAGAAAAATGCCCCAAAGCAATGGGGAAGCCCAAAGGGGAGAGGATGTGACCCTAATGAGGGTGCTAATGTGGTGGCCTCGCTACTGAGAAGTGAAGTAATTGCTGCTCAGGAGGAATGTGAGCCAGCAGAAAACAGTATTCCACCCAGGTGCCAAGAAAAGCAATTAGAACCGGTAAACACCAGTGGCTGACTAAAACCAGGCCCTTAATTAATAGTTTCATCTGAAGGGTAAGGAAATCATTAAGTGCTATCGGTGTCTATTAATTCCCTGCAAGATGAACAACAACAGAGTTGTAAGACCTCTTTCAGTGGGCAGCGTGTGCAGGAAGGAGTGATGAGCCCCCTGCATGAGGTGGGAGAGGCTGCTTTTGCTCCTCACTTCACTGACGGCTGCCCCAGAGGCCTGGGATGCGCTGCAGGACAAACAGCTCACACCAGGGGTTTAGGTAGGACGTGGCTTTGGGGCTGCTCCATCCAGGCAGGAGAGAAGGTGGGTGGAAAAATGTGACTTCAACAAAAAGCCGTGCAGGCTGAAGCGCTGTGCCGGGGAGCGCAGGGAGGGTACGCAGAGCTGGGGGTTTGGAAGAGAAATGTTCGTGGTACTCTACAGATCCAGCCACTGAACTGTGGAGGAAAGTGTCAGCCTCTTCTGTCCAGCTCAGAGAGTGCTGCATAAATATCTGTTGGAGGAAGAACTAGGGATGGGTACCAGAACTAGGGAAGGCAGATAAAACTTCCTACTGTCTAAACTCTGGTGGTGTATTGCTGGACTTCATGAAGTGTTCCCAAATCCTCAGAAACCAAGAGTGCTAAGGAGTGGCCTTTACAAAGGGCACAGCCTTGATGCTAAGTCTGGGTAAGACATAGATTTATTCTTGTTGCTTTCTGACTCTCGAGTCATCCACCTACTCTTCCCTGAATTTCGGAAGGACTGCAAATCTCTTCCCAATCTTATTTTTCAATTTGTTCTCTCATCTTTATCTGACGTGGGCTCTTGTGCTGCACTGAGGCGAGGAGCAGCTTGTGGTGGAGAGTGGCAGAGGTTGGTTTTCCTGCTCTGTTAGGCAGTGCATCGCTGACCAGCCTTGCCAGCGCCGACCAGTGCTCCTCCTGTCTCAGGACTGGTTGCTACTGGTGTGGAAACCAGCCCAGCCTGGCTGTGAGGCACACCAGCATTCACACACACTTCCCCGGCCAGCTGCCCAGGTACTCGGAGCATTAATTTTGGCAGTTTATAGCTGACCTGGTATCTCCTCCATAAAAAGAGGACTATGAAGTCACTAGAAGCTCAGCCATATTTCTGGAGCGAGGGGGAAGCTCTTGTAGCGTGTCAAACACCTATGGAAGAGCCTCTCTTCCTCGCTGTCAAAACCGTGACAGCTCAAGGAGCTTCCCTTTAGGATAACCTACCCTCTCTTCGAATTGAGACAGCTGGAGTAAGGCAAGGGGATTCATCCCAGTCTTGTTTTCTTCTCTTCTGTCAAATGCAACTCAACAGGCTCTCCTCAGCAGACTGATTTCTTTCAAAACCTGCCGTCTGCCATTCAGCCCCATGAAGGAGGTTCACTGCCTTGTTGCCATGGTACCCTTTCTCTAAAGAGGAATAGTTAATTACACAATTTAAGAAACTAAGGAGGAACGACAGAAAGAGAAATAATAGAAAGGAAGATTCTGGGCTGGTGATAGAACTGCTGGCTGCACCAAAGCACACTGTTTACAAGTGAAATATTTGCTGGCTGGATGCCGTGTACAGCCAGGGCTGCTCCGTATTCCGAGGAGCTGCCCTTTGCCGGGCGGTGTGCCTCTGCCATCCAGGGAATCCGTCCTGTAGTCACTGCTGTTACCTTCCCTGGTTAATGCCCCAGAGCCTCAGACATATTTGCTTGGCTGAAATTCTCTCTGAACGGAGCTAGGACAGCAATAATACATCCCAGACCCATGACAAGCTCACACTGCCTGTGGATATACAGAGGTACAGTTCAGGACTTAAGCGTTTTAAATCTCGGCAGCATTTCGTTGTTCCTCAGCCCTACTAATCCCCTGCTTGCTTTACCCAGGACCTCAGAAAATCCAGTTTGTGGGACCAAAGAGATGGTGAGCATCAAAGCTGGCAAGATCCCAGCCCCTTTAGAAGGACTGGCATTTTCCACTTGCCAATAGCACCGGCCGGCCAGCTACAGCCTGGGCGAAACAAAGCACCACAAGAGATCTTGGGCAATGATGGATCCAGGCTACAGCGCTCCGTGCAGTGAGAAGAGGGAGAGCTGCCTCTCGCACGGAGCTCTGAGCTCTGCAAGGCAGGGGGAAGGGGAAGAGTTACCTCACACCCTGTTCCTAAATGTGTGCGGTGAGAGAAAGAGGGAAGGAAGATGACGTGATCCCCGTGCAGTTGTTTACTACAGAGGACTGGAAGGAGATCTGTTTCGGTACAGACCTCAAGCTCCCCTTCCACCTAACGAGGGCAATAATAGCACCGAGGGCTAGACCACAGCCACATACAGTGCTAAGAGGAAGAGAGCAGTCGAGAGGCAATAATAATCCAGAATACTTCTGGGAACACAGCGGGAACGGCTGTCAAAAGACCCAACATTTTAATCAGCAAACTTTGTACACAAGAGGCTTCCCACTAAGGGAGCACACGTATTCCTGCTTTTACCACCAGCTTCTACCACCCGGGCTTTTAAGGCCCAGGATGGTCTGTCTTCTTCAAGCTTCCCTTAGAAAGCATTTCCAGGGAGGGTGGATTTCCAGAATCTGTCCCAGGAGCAACGTTCAACCCAGTCCCTGTTGCTTGAACTGATGTTGAATGCAGTGTGTCTTCCGTTCTCCCCTCACATCCGTCTGGCTTTCCGTGGGCGGCAGCCGTTGTGCGGAACCGGGGTGTTGTCAGTGATGGAGATGATCTCCAGACCCCCCATAGTCAAACCCTTGATGGCAGCCTGCAAGAACGAGACAGCAGATGACACGCTGTTATCAACACACTGAACAGCAGAGAAAGGAAAAATCTTAGAGGAAAAGGGTTTGGTCCCCCATCCAAAAATCAAGTTCTTCCAATGGTTCTTCCTTGTAATTATCTTAAAAGTAAGTAATTCATATCAGAAAATCCAGTTTAAACCTATCTGCTCCAGTCTTTTCACAAGAGTTCCCATCAGTTTTCCCACTTTAGTTGGAAGAAGTCCCAAATAACAGCTTTTACTCTGTCTCTATAGTGAAATGACTCTAAAATTTTAATTATTCTAAAATTTTATCGCCAGGCGCTTGAGTGATGAATTCTTTACATCACCTTCACAAATACCAAGTTAATAGATGGAGTCAGGAGACCAGCCTGAAATTACAAAACCTGGATGATGCCTGAGAAAGAAAAATATGAAAAGAAACTCTGACACCTACTTTGCGTCCTGGTCCCAGTCCTTTCACCATGACTCGTACGTGTAATACACCTTTCCCTCGTGCTTTCTGTGAAAAGAACAAACTGGTTAGTGTTCTCTTTGGTATTATTAATGCTGCTCTTGCTCTCCTGGAGTCTTTCATTCCCTTTTGACCCACTATCATAGTTTTTAAGTAAAAATAAAGAGTAGGTAGTAATGGATACAGAAGACGAATATGGGGATTATTGCCCAAAGACAGAAGGAGAAAAGGAGGCCTGGATACAGCCGTGGCAGTTTCAAGAAAACTTCTGTGCTCAGCTGTCAACTCTGTGTACAGAGAAAGCTTTAACATCAAACTATCCGTGACCTAAAGCCAGGGCAGAAAATGACATATCCATGGATACGTGACTGAACTGGCAAGGGACTAACAAGGACTAACTCAAAGCTGTTTTCCCTTCTCGAATGCAGCGACTTCTCTCCTGTGATCAGTGGATTCCTTCTGGAGGGTAAATGAGAAAAGCAGGCGAGCTTTGTGTTTGCTGTGCAGGAGTCCACACCTTCAGTGCAAAAATTCTAGGGGCCTGCAAATTGAAACTGAAAAACACCTGCTGTAAAGCATAGCCGTGCTGCCACCAAGTGGATGGAGCTCTGCTGGGCCTCTCACTATCCGTGTTCGGGTGCAATTAATGTACTAACAACTTTAACAGTGATGGAATAAATCTGTCCAAGCACAGCTATGCAGCTATTACGAGGCTCTGATGAGCACAGATAAATAGTGAAGATGTTCTTCTATTCCTCTGAGCCAACCACAATAAGCTGTTGGCCAGCAGCAGCATCAAACACCTCTGACATGAAAGGCTGAAGCGAGTTCTGCCTAATTTAAGATAAGGGTTTTCAGTTTAACCTTGCCTCATTCTGCTGTAATGAGGACCGTGACACAGCCAGCCTCATCTTCTCCTGCCACCTGGACACCCACATGATTTTTTAGGAACTATTACAGTAAACCGTATGCAGCTGGAAACTACACGTGCAAGGACATCACCTTCTCTGACTGGAACTGCTGGCAGCAGCTCAATTCTCCTGTGGCAGAGAGCAAATATAAAACATTCAGCCAGTAATTACAGCCACTTCTCAGTCCCCTACAGTGCGGAAATTGAACTGCTGCTGATTCAGGGACGAGATTTCCAAAATGGCTGAAAGATGTTCACTTAGAAAAAAAGGGAGCTCTGCAAACTGGAGCTAGAAAAGGATACGCTCCAAGTCATGTTTCCCAATCACAACCTGCACAGCCGAGTTTACCCTCTGGGCATTTCTAACTGCCTTTTAAAACACACTTTGCATGAAGATGCGCGGCGTCAGATGAAGGTAGGGAGGCTGTCAGCAGACAGCAGCGTGCTGCTCGAGCACTGAGGAACAGAGCTCGGGGCTGCTGCTCCCCTTGAGCAAGGCCCTCTGGGAGGGCAGGAAGCATCAGCACGGACTCACCACTGCTGCTGCCATGGCTGCAGTCTGCGCCGCGATGGCAGTTCCCTTCTTGGCATTTTGGAAGCCCTCTGTGCCACAGGACGTGCGGGCAAACGGCCTGTTGTCAAAGCTGACCACTTGGATGTGGGTGCTACAGGAAGAGAGGGGCAGGAGAAAGAAGCAAGCTGAAACGAAGCTTTATTCTCCAGTTTCTTCTTGCTCACCTTACTGGCACAGCTCCTGTCTCCCTTCTCCAAGCCACCCTAACTCAGCACTCCCTTTCGAGGTATCCCACTTACACAAACCCGCTGCAGAGACCTCCCAGCAGTGACCTTTTGGTCACCGAGGTGGCAAAACCTTTCTGGATAAGGTATACTTTATCCAGCTATTCCTCAGATACTGCTTAGCCCTTTCAGACACACCTCTCACTGTATTTTACTTCTTCTGCTTATTAAAAAAAAATGTACAAAACATTTCTAGAACTTGAGAGAGCTTTAACAAACTGTAAAATATCACACTAGAGATCACTAATGAAACACAACAATCTCTCATGGAGAATATGACACTTCTTTCAACAGCTGTACAGCAACAGTGCTGGAACTGAGGAAGTAACCTGCCATTAAAGCCGTCAGCATCCAATTATTCACATCAGAATGTAGTCAAAACGTGTAATAGCAATCTTATTGCTGTTAAATACACTATAAGCAGTTACGCTTTCTGAACAGCACCAAGGTTTGGATTCAGTATTATTATCTTCCTAGCCATGGACATCACTCGCCTGGCTTTTTTCCTTTGTGCCTTTTGATCAAGATGATGACTGGCCAAAGCCCGGGTATGTTATATGCTTTCATTTTTGCATGAGAGCAGGAATAGAGCAGCTGATTTGCTTACTTGTTGTACGTAGCTTTGATGTGAGCTATTGGGATCTCTTCATAGACCTTTCCATCCCATCTCATGGAGCTCCTCTGCAGGATTAAAGGGCTGCGGAGCAAAACGAGAGTTATCAGGCACTCACTCTTTAAACTTTGCAAAGTTTTATTTCATATTGGGAAAGAAAGAAGGGATCGAGTCTCTGGAAGACACAAGCTGCGTTTGTGATTGAGTCAAGTCACTTCCTTTCCTTCTTCGGCTGAAACACCACGGAAGGCGAGAAAACCTCCCAGCAAGAGGCAATTGGCAGAGCCCTCCCGGCGCGGCCTGGCCGTATCTCACCTCAGGTCGGTCGCGCTCTGCTTCTCCGCCTCCTTCGCAAGCTCCTGCAGCCTCGTGGGGGTGGTAAACAGGCCACGGCACAGGGCGGCAGCACGACCCCTGAAGAAAAGAAACGGTGAGGAGGAGGACACCAGGGTCTCCCCCCGGGGCGGGCGAGCCCCAGGCCCGCAAGGCCGGGCCCTGCAGGCCCTCCCGCCATGACGGGGAGGGAAGGGGGCCCCAGCGCGGCCTGCCGCTAATACGGAGAGGGATGGAGAGGGGGTGAACCGGCTCGGTATCGTCCCTCCCCTCGGTGCGGCCCAGTTCCTGACCCCGCCGCTCACCCCCAGGCCGCTCCGAGCAGCCGTTGCCAGGCGACCGCGCTCATGGCGGCTCCCGTAGCGCGCGCCCGCCAGAGGTCGCCGCAAGGCACGACGGGAACGAGGAGGAACGGCGGCGGCCCGGCCCTTCCCGCCCCCGCGGTGCATGCTGGGCGGCGCGGCGCGGCAACAACATGGCGGCGCCCAGGCAGCCGGCGGCGGGTTGGGGGCGATGGTTTTGTACCGCTGCCGCCCCTCGGCCGTGGCGGCTCTTCGGGGCTTTGTGCCTCTTGAGGCTTCCCCGCATCACGCAGCCTCTGCAGAAGGAGGAGGAAGAGATGGCGGCCCTCATGGGGCAGGTATAGAGGGAGGGCGCTGACAAGAGAATGGTCTCCTCAGGCCTAGAGGGGAGGGCACCCTGTGGGTCCGGTAGCCGCGGCCAGTCCCCGGTAGCGCCTGAGGCGCTACCGGGGACTGGCCGCGTCTACCGGCCCCGGGGGTGACAGGCTGGGGACATTTTAGGTGGTGTTGCTCCCTGTGTGTGATTTGTGGCCTGCACCAGGTATCATGGGTCTTGGTAGTGCTCCCATGGCCTTCCTCAATGCTGTTGGTGTCCCAGATTGAGGCAGGGAAGGCCTGTTCCAACTCAGGGAAATTCCCATCATCTTGTGTTCACTCAGGTAGAAATAACTTAATTCTCCTTGCTAAGTCCAACCTGTCGCGTTGGTGCCTTAATGGTTCTCTGTATTCATTTCTAGATAGAGCTGGAGAAAAGCCACTATTCGGATCATGAAATCCGTAAGCTGCAGGAGGAGGAGCAGCTCAGGAGGAGGAAGGAAAGCATGTACGATGATGATGATGCGCCCGGTAAAACAGTCATCATGGCTCAAGACCTGGAGGAGAAGTGGGAACAGAAGTTACTGCGATTCAAAGCTGCTCCACGCATAACAGGTACAGGCTGGAGTTTGTGGCGGGTGAGAATGCTCTGATCATCTGCCAAACACAGCTGAGTGCAATTCAGTGGAGAGGAGACATTTGCTGAGTCTTTTTTATTTTATGGAGGGTCTTGATTCCTTAGCAGCACCATTAGTGCATGAGGAATTAACTGGCTGTTAAGGGAATCATTGTTTTCATGCTGCAAAGTGCGTGTTTGCATGACCTTATTGGAGCAAAGCGGTGAAAATGGATGTTGTTTCCTGATGAGAAACCTCGGGATGCTTGGTTCCTGAGCTCACCTAGCATTCTTGTTGATTTTTGTCAAACTGGAGATCCAGGCTGATTGCTGTAAATTCCCTTTGGAAATGAAACAGGTGGAGTGCAGTCTAGCAGTGGATTCCAGTTGGATCCTGCACTGGCTTCCAGATACACTGAGAACATTTCTGTCTAGATTTCTGTCATGTTCTATGTGTCCATGTTTGTGTGTTATTGCTGGAAGGGTGTTAGATGCAGAGGGTTGATGAATCAAGGGGAGCAGGGCAGTGCTGCCAGGAGACTTTGTTTTTCGAGCATGTGTTGGTTTTTGGCAGATGCTGATAAAAGCAACAATCGAACATCGTTGAACAGGAAGCTGGACAGTAACCTGATGCTTCTGGTGAAACAGAAAATTGGTAACCAGGAGCTCTGGCTCCTGCCTCAAGTGGAATGGCAGCCTGGAGAGACGCTGCGAAACACAGCTGAGCGAGCCATGGCTACGTTTTTAGGTGTGTAGTTTACTGTGTGCCTGGTCCTCCCTCCCCTTTGTCCCAGTTGTTTTCTTCCTGTGCCCTATCTGAGGGATATTTGCCATCTGCTGTAACGAAATCCCCTCCCACCTGCTGGGAAAAGGCATTTTATGGCAGAAGGATGGAGCTCAATGGGGTGGGCTTTCTGGCAAGAGCCTTGATGATGGGTAATCGGCTCTGTAACTGTGTACTGTTGCAGAGTGAGTGCAGCGTGTGTGGGGCTGACTGGGCTGGCAGACTCTGAGTTGGGATCTCCGGCTGCCAGCAACTGTGGTGGCGAGACTGGCCCTCGTGGTCTGATGTTGGAGCATCACCAGACACCCCCTGAACAGTCTAGGCTTGCTCCAGGTTTATGCCTTCTCTGGTCGTCCTGTAGCAGCTTTTGTGGCAGATGGGAGATAGCAAATCCATGTGTCCCTGCTTTTCGGTGTGGGTTGCTAAAACACTCTCACTCCACCTGCTAGACTCCAGGAAAAGTTGTTTTTTTCATGAGAAAATGCTGACAATTGCCAATATTTCTGCTAAGAAGGAACAGTTGGTCTGAATCAGATACAAGGAGTGGCTTACTCTGTTTTTCTGTTACCGCAGGAGAGCGGTTACTGTTGCTCTGCATTCTTATGTCTTGTTTTCTGTTTTCTTTCTTTTGTGTTGCTGGGGTCTTGCAGGAGATGACATTCAAGCCAAAATCCTGGGGAATGCGCCACATGGGGTTTACAAGTATAAATTCCCCAGGGCCATCAGGACTGAGGATAACGTAGGAGCCAAAGTATTCTTCTTCAAAGCCTTCCTCCAAAGCGACGATCTGTCCCAGCCAGAGCCGAAGAAAGATTACCTGTGGGTCACGAAGGATGAGCTGGGAGATTACTTGAAGTCGGAATACCTGAACAAAGTCAATCGATTCCTTCTGGACTTATAAGCAGTAGGCTGTGCTCCTGCAGATGGGGAAGACGTGGGATGCGACTCCAGGGAGGAGCACAGCTGCTGCTTTGCATGGTCTGTGTGTATGAGATGTTCACTTGGGCTCTGGAGGATAATTTGCCTTTGCCTTATTTCCCAGTTCTCTTCACCGGGCCTGTACTAAATAAATATTAAAACTTATACTAGGAAGTGAAGCTTTCCTCAGGGAATTCTTTGCTCTTGTTGAATCCTCCTCCAACTTTTCTGGAAACGCATGTTATGATCTTTTCCTCTCCCAAGTGTGCAATTCCCTGGGGCTGTGGTAGCCGGGAGGCTCGCTTTCCTCACCAGACTCCTGTCGTAGTCTGGAGCTCAAGTGGTTTCTTCTAAGCAATGGCTAATGCTTATTTCTGGCTTGTTTCTTTAATAAGAGCAGTGCTAGAGGGTTATCTGTGTATCCGGGTGGGAACAGACCCCTTCTGCATATAAGGTTGGCCAACTTGGGTTTCTGGGGAGCTGGAAGCTGGGATACTTACAGTTTATTTGCGTTTAATCTGTGTTGGAGCTGCCTCTGTTGTAGAGTCTGTGATACACGGTGACCGTGAAGGACACGGACGCATGAGGAATGGGCAGCAGCTCTTTCTTTAGATGAGTGCTGCTTTCCCACCCGCACTGCCCTCCTCCTTAAGCCTCAAGCTGTAGCAACAGACACTGAAGGAGGGTAAAATTTAAGCAGCAGCTCTCTGTCTGGACAGAGAGGCTAATTTCTGCTGGTGGGGGAATGCTCTGGGGGGTTCTTGGCTCCCATTCCTCATGCATTGGGCTAGCACTGCTAACGCAGCCCAGTCGGGTCTGCCTCAGGTAGCCTGACCCTCTTACCCCAGTTTGTTTATAAGAAGATCTATCCTGAACTTAAATGGTGCTGTTTCACTTCTCTGGGGCTGATTCTATTTCTTGGAGGTTTTTTTTTCTGTTTGTAAATGTTGCTGTTTGGTAGTCAGAGTGGTGTCTGGACCTTGCAGAGAATCAGCCTTCTTCAGCATCAGGGAGAGAGGGAGGAAATAGCTGTCGTTAATCATCGGGAGAGAGTTCGGCCTCCAGAGGTGGAACTGGAGATTGCTATATATATTTTATCAATCCTTTGGGAGCTGTTGAGCTGCAGGCCTCAAATTAAAGCTATCCTTAATCACTCCACAAGCCGTCGGGGTGGGGGGAGTAGCACAGCAGCCTTCTATTTTCTAACGCTGGGCAGTTGGGGAGCTGCAGGCTTGCCATAAATTACCAGCAAAACAAAACTTGGTTTCCTGAAGCACCCTCGCAGGCCTGGCAAGGAGGCTGTGTCTGCAACAGAGAGCGCTAGCAAAGAGGAAATAAATGTGGAGCAGAATATGGGCCTGAAAAACTGCAGATTTTCTGGCATCTGTCTGAGGGCAGCAGTGCCGTAGGGGAGACTGTTGCCTTCTCCAGGATTGAAAGCTCCTGCAGAGGGGACAGGTGAGTCCTTCCCCTCAGGCTGTGTCCCACCAGCCTGGGGGGACGTGGGTGCACTCAGCTCAGGATTAGGCTTTTCTCTGTCACTCTGTTTCAGGCCGTTGCTGGCTCTGCAGCACACAGCCCCAGAGCAGAGCTTCGTGGGCACAGGCTTAGGGCATGCCCTCTGCCGAGGTCTCTGCCCCATTTCCCGTGCCAAAGGCAGGTTTTGTGTTGTTGGAGGGAAACTTTCAAAGCGTACAAAATGCTGTTTAATCAGTGCTTGTTTGCTCTCAAAACCAGGAGCACAAATGTGAGCAAAGGCTGCACTGAAAGCTTTCTGATCTTCAAACCCAGGCAGTTCTTATCCTCTGGCTTGCTCAGGCTACAAGTCTTTGGGTGTTGTGTTGAGAGAGGTGTAGCTCCCGCCAGCAGTGGAAAGGTCAGAATCAACAGCATCCTGAATTTTCTTTATTTTTTTTTTCCTTGGACTCAGACCTTTGTTCTTACAGGTAGCAGGTGTGTGAGAAGTTTGGTCTTTTTTGGAAGCTGAAATTGTTGAAATTGGTTATTTTCTCATCACCTAAACCACAAATTTCTCCTTGCAGCCTGCATAAGAACAGCACCTTTTTTTTTTTTCTTTTTTTTTTTTTTTCGCCTGCATTGGAACAGCACCTTTTTTTTCTTTTTTTTTTTTTTCTCTGTAGTTGATTTTTTTTTTTTAAAAACCCTAAGCCAGTTGCTGCAAACAATACCAGATCCTCCAACATGGGTGCTTTTGCTCATTTCTTCTGTGTGGCTTCCTTCCCCTGTCCCTGGCCTCAGTGAGAGGGACGTTTGAAGGATATCATGCAGCTTTCTTAGCCGAGAGGATGGTTTATATCTTCTCATAGTTGATTTTATTTAAAAACCCTTAGCCAGTTGCTGCAAACAATCCCAGATCCTGCAACACGGGTGCTTTTGCTCATTTCTTCTTTGTGGCTTCCTTCCCCTGCCCCTGGCCTCAGTGAGAGGGACGGCTGAAGGATATCATGCAGCTTTTTTAGCCGAGAGGATGGTT